CATCCTTTCATGATAAAAACTCTTAACAAATTAGGTATGGAAGGAACATACCTCAACATAATGAAGGTCATATATAACAAGCCCACAGCTACTCAATGGTGAAAGGTTGAAAGTTTATCCTCTAAGATCAGAAAGAGGACAAGGGTGCCCACTCCTATTCAACACAGTCCTGGAAGTCCTAGCCAGAGGACTTATCTACCTTTGGTATTAAGGTGATGGCCAGAACAATTGGGCAGAAAAGAAATAAAAAGCATTCAACAGAAAGGAAGAAGTAAAATTGTCTCTCTTTGCACATGACATGATCTTATATATAAAATACTCTAAAACTTTTTTCTGAGTTAAAGCAGAAATTTATTAAAAACTATTTATATAGTGTTTTACAAACAACAAAAAATGTACACAGTCCTCATAATTCAGGCCATCAACCCTATTCTCAGAAGTGCTTTGAGATACAATGGCCAACAGACACATGAAAAAAATGCTCAACATCACTTGGCATCAGGAAAATACAAATCAAAACCACAATGAGATACCACCTCACACCAGTCAAAATGGCTAAAATTAAGAAGTCAGGAAACAACAAATGTTGGCAAGGATGCTGAGAAAGGGGAACCCTCTTACACTGCTGGTGGAAATGCAAGCTGGTGCGGCCATTCTGGAAAACAGTATGGAGGTTCCTCAAGAAGTTTAAATACAGAAATATAGGTAAATACCCCAAAGATACAAATGTGATCTGAGGGGGGACCTGCACCCCTATGTTTATAGCAGCAATATCCATGATAGTCGAACTATGGAAAGAGCCCAGATGACAGATGAATGGATTAAAAAAAGATGTGGAATATATATACAACAGAATATTACTCAGCTATCAGAAAAAAAAAAAGAAATCTTATCATTTTCAATGATATGGATGGGACTAAAGGGTATTACGCTAAGTAAAATAAGTGGATCAGAGAAAGACAATCATATGATTTTGCTCATATGTGGAATTTAAGTAACAAAACAGAGGATCATAGGGAAAGGGAGGGAAAAATAAAATAAGATGAATAAGAGACACTTAACTCTTGGAAAATAAACTGAGGGTTGCTGGAGAGGAGAGGAGTAGGGGAATGGGGTAACTAGGTGATGGGCATGAAGGAGGGCATGTGATATAATGAGTACTGAGTGTTAGATACAACTGATGAATCACTGAACTCTAAAACTAATAAAACACTATATGTTAATTATCTGAATTTAAATAAAATTAAATTTAAAAAAGAAACCATCAACAAAAAGAAGTGCTTTGAGAGAAGACAGATTTCTCTGCCTTTCTGCTAAAAAAAAATTTCTGTTTATACTCCTGAAAATGATGCATTTATTACATCACCTCTTATAAGAACAATCCCTTTGAGATCCCAAAACCTGTACAGAGAGTGAAGATATCTTAGCAAAGAACCTCCTCCAGAATGCAATGCTTCATCACAGAGGTGTAATGTAGGAAACACATAAAAAGGTGGCTGTCAGGGATGCCTGGGTGGCTCAGTGGTTGGGTGTCTGTCTGCCTTTGGCTTGGGGCATGATCCTGGAGTTCTGGGATCAAGTCCCACATCAGGCTCCCCGCCAGGAGCCTGCTTCTCCCTCTGCCTAGGTCTCTGCCTCTCTCTGTGTCTCTCATGAATAAATACATAAAATCTTAAAAAAAAAAAACCTGGCTGTCAGAGGAGTATATGTGATCTGACAGGTGGGTCATTTAGAGCCTGATGGGCAGACCCACACTGTGGGGCATGGCCAGCTAGGACTGCATGGCCTCCAAGGCCTCTTCTTACTCCTTATCTTCTGAGGTGGCTATTCCTCCTGGAGGTTTGATCTCCAGAAGTATATTGGTCACATTACTAGCTGCTTTGCCAAAGGCTCTTGCTGTAATTTCAAACAAAATTTTATCAATTCCATGTCTGCTGCTTCTACCATTTCTTCCAGATCATCCATGCTTTCAAAAGTGTCCTCTTCTGTCTCTTCCATGATACCAGCCTTCATAATCTCTTTGGACAATTCCTGTCTGGTGCCCTGGATTGATGAGATCTTCACAAGACTCTGAATGGCCTTTGTCACTTCTGTGCTCTTTTGCAGGGAAAGATTCAGCCACTTTCAAACCACCAGCTCGTTCTTCATCTGCACAAGCACAGAGTTCATGTGAGCTTTGGACGCATAAAGCCTGCTCACAGCCTTCCTTGACCTATCCTCTCATTAGCCAGAACCACACAGACATCCTTCTGGCCCTTCTTGGCAGCATCTTTCACAGATTATTTCATCCTTTCTTTTTCTCTTTGGATATCTCTTATTTGCCTATCTGCAGCTCTCATTTCCCTTTCTAATCAACAAGATCAACATACAAAAATCAGTTGCATTTCTATACACTAAAAAGGAACTATTTTAAAATGAAATAAAGACACCATCTCTCCACCTCAGCATGTAGAATAGCATTAAAAAAACATAGTATCTTAGGAATAAATTTAACCAAGGAGGCAAAATATCTGCATTCTTTCAAACTATAAAACATAGATGAAAGAAACTAAAGAAAACACAAATAAATGAAAATATATTCTGTATTCATGGATTATAAGATCTAAAACATTGTTAAAATGTCCATACAAGTCGGAGTGATCTACAGATTCAGTGCAACCCCCGTTAAGATTTGGATGGCATTATTTATGGAAATAGAAAAAAAAAGTCCTAAAATTGATATGGAAACATGAAAGACCCTAAATAACCAAAGCAATCTTGAGAAAGAGAACTAAGCTGAACATATCACACTTCCTGATTTCAAATTATATCACAAAGCGAGGGTAATAAAAATAAATAGGCATAAAAACAGATACATAGACCACTGGAACAGAATTTAGGACTCAGAAATAAACCCATATATAATCAACTAGTATTTGACAAAGGAGCTAATACTACTTAATGGAGAAAAGAAAGTCTCTTCAATAAATGGAGTTGGGAAAACTAGATAGCCACATGCAGAAGAATGAACTAGACCCTTATCTTACACTACTCACAAAAAAGTAACTAGAGATGGATTAAAACTTAAATGTAAGACCTGAAACTAAAGGTTCTAGAAGAAAACATAGAGGGGTAAGCTCCTTGACAATGGCAGTAGCAATGATTTTTTTTTTTTTTTGGATTTGGCACCACAAGCACAAGTAACAAAAGCAAAAATAAACAAGTGGTACTACATCAGACTAAAAAGCTTTGGCACAAAGAGGTAATAAAAAAAATGAAAAGGCAATCTATGGAATGGAAGAAAATATTGGTAAACCATGTATCTGGTAAGACGTTAATGTCCAAAATATATAAGAATGTCAAACTCAATACAAAATCCAACAAAGAAACAAACAAAACCCAAATTAGCCAATTAAAAATGGTTAAAGGACCTGGATAAACATTTTCCCAAGGAATATTTACAAATGGCCAACGGGCACGTGGAAAGATCTTCCACGTTTATCATACTAATCATCAGGGAAATGCAAATCAAAACCACAAGGCAACATCACCTCACATAGATCAGAATGGCTATTATCAAAAAAACAACAAATAACAAGCACTAGCCAGGATAAAAAGAAAAGGAAATACATTTCTTGGTGGAATACATTTCCTGGTGGAAATATAAATGGTAATGACCATTATGGAAAACAGTACGGAGATTTTATTTTATTTTTTTAATTTTTATTTATTTATGATAGTCACACAGAGAGAGAGAGAGAGAGGGAGAGAGAGAGAGAGAGAGAGAGAGAGAGGCAGAGACACAGGCAGAGGGAGAAGCAGGCTCCGTGCACCGGGAGCCCGACGTGGGATTCGATCCCGGGTCTCCAGGATCGCGCCCTGGCCAAGGCAGGCGCCAAACGCTGCGCCACCCAGGGATTTTTTTTTTTTTTAAGAAATCCGGGATCCTGGTGGGCAGGGTTGGCCGCCTTGGCCAGGCGATCTGGACCGGATCGACCACGCGGGCCGGTGCCCCTCTGCTGTGTCTGCCTCTCTCTCCTCTCTCTCTCCTCTCTCGCCCTCCGCTCTCTCTCGTGTGTGTGTGTGACTATCATAAATAAATTTTTAAAAAATTTAAAAAAAAGAAAAAAAGACTTAAAAATAAACTACCATATGATTCATCAATTCTATTTTGGATATATATCAGAAGAAAATGAAATCACTATCTTGAAGAGATATCTGTGCCCCAGGTTCATTTTAGCATTATTTATAATAGCCAAGATGTGAAAACAACAATGTGTCTATCAACAGATGAATGAAAAGAAAATGTGAGATATCTATATATAATCCACTCATATACCAGAATATTATTCAGCCATAAAAAGAAGGAAGTATTGCCATTTGCAACAACATAAATGAACCTGAGGGCATTGTGCTAAATGAAATAAGCCAGAGAAAGACAAACACTGTATGATCTTATTTATATGCAGAATCCAAAAAATAACTTAACTCATAGAAACAGTATAGGTGATTGGTGATTGCCAGGGATTGGTGATTGCCAGGGATGGTGATTGCCAGGGATGGGGTTGCGGGGGGCGGGGGTGGTGGGAAGGATGGGTAAAGGTTGTCCAAGGACACAAACCTTCAGCTTTGAGATAAATAATATCTGGGTTCTAATGTACATTAAATCCTACATGGTGACAATAGTTAACAATATTATACTATATACTTGAAATTTACTAAGAGAGTAGATCTTAAACGTTCTCAGGGGGCACCTGGGTGGCTCAGTTGGTTAAATGTCTGCCTTTGGGTCAGGTCATGATGCCAAGGTCCTGGGATTGAGCCCCGCATCAGGGTCCCTGATACTCAGCAGGGAATCTGCTTCTCCCTCTCCTTCTGCCCCTCCTCCCTTCTCTTTTCCTCTCTTAAATAAATAAATAAAATATTTAAAAACAAAAAAAGTTCTCAGTACACACATACACACACACACACACACACACAAAGAAGTAATTATGTGAGGTGATGGATGCATTAACTAACTTTATTGCTGTAATCACATTGCAATATATACAGATCAAATCATCATGTTGTACATTAAGAACACAATATTACACGTCAATTGTATCTCAATAAAGATGGAAAAATTTTCAAGCAAATATTACCAAAGGAATAAAAGAAGAAAACGGAAAATCAATAAGGCAAGAAAGCAGGAAATATATCCCACATATGTGTGTACTTTTTCCAGGACAAGAGGACGGGAGCCAGAGAGCTTCCCATTCCCCTCTTCCACCTCAAACACAAATAAAATATTATCACTCATCCCCTTCAGCAGAACAGAGAATTGCTGCCTCTAGCAGGAACTGTATTCCCCACTAATCTCTGGAACTGTACATTTTTGTAACTATTCATAACAAATCATTGAATTAATTTCCTTTTTATTTCCTTATGAGAAAACTAAATTACTAATATTATCAAAATGTTCTCCCTCACTAGAAAATTCCCCTGATTCTAGTATTTGGGTTTATATGATTCCATTTGGAGTTGGTTTTAGAAAACATGGATTTTTTTTAAGTCAATACTCAGTACTAACGTTGGCCCAAGCATTCTACTCTTTACTAGCTATAGGATTTTTTCCCCCTTAGGTTCCTTCTCTCATCTTTTATTCACTCTCTGCTTTTACAGTGCTACTTTCTGTACAGCAATTTTTTATTTTCAAAAACGTATCCAGGCTTTTCATAATAAATTTTGACCTCCCGAATACAAACATTGGGGCTTAGTTGGAGCAGTTGAGGATAATCCCTCAGCCTCCATAAAGAAAGCCAAAGTTTTACAGTCTTCCACTTTACAATCTTCTCTGAGCACAGCTTATGGGAGACTGAGCTTACAGATATTTAGAACATTTCTTTTTTTTTTTTCTCCTTTCTTAGTCTGCTCAGACTGACATACCCAAATACCACAGACCATGCTTAAACACAGGAATTTATTTTCTTATGGTTCTGAAGATGGGGAATTCCAGATCGAGGTGCCAGCAGGTCCTGTTTCTGGAGAGAGCCCTCTCCCAGCTTGCAGATGGCAGCCTTCTCGCTGTGTGTTCTCACATGATGGCAAGGGAGTAGGAGCTCCCTGGTATCTCTTCTCATTAGGACGCTAATCTTATTAGAGCAAGGTGCCACCTCTAGGACCGTATTTAACCTTAATTACTTAATTTTACTCCAAATACAGTCACATTGGGGATTAGGGCTTAACATGAGTTTTAGGAGGACACAAGTTAGTCCACAGTACCCCTGAAAAAAAAAGAAAAACTTGTACTACAAGTCAAAATGGACAAAAACACACAGAAGCCATCCATTTCTTTAAGTCAATTCCCCCAGCAGTGGCAGCCATGAACAGTGAAAAAGATTTAGCAAGTTGCGTCACCTACCAGTCCCTCTTCTGTCACTTGGAAGGTATATACTGTTTTCTCTTGTGTTCCAAAGCACTTTAGGAGAGTTCTAACTCTGGGCACTTTTACACAGATGAGATGTGCTTCTTCTGCTCACAACACACACCTCCCTCTCCACTGGAAGAGCTAAACACCTCTTCATGAGAAGCATCTGTCCTTGGGTGCCTTCCATTTTCTCTCTCTTCTCCAGGGACCTGTGTGTGCCATGCTTCTTCCTCTCAGGCAGAAATCTCTCCTTTCATCTCACTTGCAACCCTTCTAGATGTTGGAGACCATCCAATCCCTCTGCAAAGTGCTATCCAAGAGCCGGCTCCCCAGGCCCCCCCAACATCACCACTCCTCAGCTCTCAGCTCTGTGTAGTACATCCACCAGCAGCTTCCGCTGGCAAGGGTCGCAGACTTGTCTCCCTCTGTGTGGTCTGCTCTGCTGGTGGAGCTGAAATCAGTTCGGGTTCAGGAGGGGTTCTTCACCTTGGTGTGATCTTCTACATCCATTGCTACTGCTGAGTGGTGGTGGCTGGTGTGGATACAGGCAGTGCCCCAAACTCCCCATCTTCTCCAGGCCTCCTGTCTGCCAGGGCAGAGGATGGCAGCGAGCTGAGAAAATCAGAACCCCGGAGATGTGACTGGATGACAAGTCTAGCCATCATTCACTCCTGTTCCCAGGCTTAAGGGAATGCCTATCGGAGCTTTGCCTTTGGTGCCTGGGGCGCAGTTGCACACGGAGTGAATGGAGACATCATTCCTTCTTTACCATAATTCTGCAATCCCCCACATTGGAGGACACAGACTATGCCCAGTGTTGGGTCACTGTTAGCCCCTTCTCTGAGAAAAGCACGCTATAAAGAAGCAGAAAGCATAAAGAAAGAAAATCGGAGAACTTATAATGATGCACACAATTTCTATTTATACCATCAAGTCAGTCTCATATCTTTCCTTTCTACTGCCTCTTCCTTCCTTCCCCCTACCTCTCTCTCCCTCCATCCTGCCTTCCTTCCTTCCTTCTTTCCATGGCCTCGGGCCAATCATTGAGCACCTGCTCGACATGCTGTAATATTTGTTTTGCATAATTTTACTAGGTTTTTACAAAAGTTATACCCATAAAAAAAAATCTGTCAGGCCAAAAATTAAATGCAATCAGTTAAAGAGACACCTTAAGCAGATACTCCCCTAATTCAACATTTTGTTTCTTTTGAAAGCTGCATGTTACTTTGGGGGCGCATGGTTGGGCAATCTGTTAAGCATCTGACTTCAGCTCAGGTCATGATCTCAGGGTCCTAGGATTGAGCCCCTCAATGGGCTTCTCACTCAGTGGGGAGTCTGCTTGTCCTTCTGCTCCTCCCCCTACTCGTACTCTCTCTCTCTCTCTCTAATAAATAAGATCTAGAAAGAAGAAAGAAAGAAAGAAAGAAAGAAAGAAAGAAAGAAAGAAAGAAAGAAAGAAAGAAAGAAGAAAGAGAGAAAGTGAGCTGCATGTCACTTTTTTTAAAAGATCTTATGTATTTATTTGAGAGACAGAGAACAACAGAGAGCACAAGCAGGGGAGAAGCAGGCTCCCCACCGAGCAGGGATCACAATGTAGGGCTGAATCCCATGATCCCTGGGATCATGACCTGAGCCAAAGCCTGACGCTTAACATGCATGGCCACCCCAGCGCCATGTATGTTACTTTTAAATCAAATTTGTAGGGCTGTTGGCATATGGTTCAATGGGCATAGAGTCTGCCCAGCCCTGCCATTTCTGTGTACCCTTGGCCAAGTTGCTTAGGTTCTCAAAGGCTATATTTCTTCACCTCTAAACATGGTGATAATAATGCTAACTATCTCATTAGACGCTTGGGAGGATATTATTAATCAACACATGCAATGTACATATGAAAGGGCCTGGGGTCTAGTAAGTCTTTAACAAATATTATATATCATTATTAAATTAGTCTTAAGTTTTTATGGAGCACCTAGGATTTCACTAGCCAGGTGAGCTGTGTGAGAACAGGCTAGTTATTGTTGACTGGCCTGACTTACCAAATTGTTTGACCCAGGCAAGTGTTTCAGATAGTGTGATCAAGGCCTTGCAGAGCATCTGGGGGCATCCCAAACGTGAGGCGTGTGGCACCAGAGTTTCAGAGACACCACTCTCATGACCAGTGGCTGTCATTTTGAACATCTGGAATTTCTTCCAGTTGCATTTAAGACTCCTCATGAAGACCTGGTAGACGACACCAGGCAATGATCTCTCCCCATGAAGCAACATTGCAATGTGCTTAGAAAAAATACCGGGCTCCAATATATCCATATCCTCTCATCATTTTCAAGGACAGCCTGATTCCTTCTATCTTTTCATGTTTCAACTGGGAGAGAGAGAACTTTACTCTGCTTCCTCAAAGCACAGCCCCTTTTGTATGGCTCTAGACACAGTGTGAGAGCAACAGACACCTGTTGAATGGAACCATGAAGCTCAGTCAAATGAAGTAACACATTTTTAAGCAAACCAGGGAATTGTTTCTCTGTCCTGAAGCTCCTCCAGGTCGATGGCTTGCACACTTGCCTTCTCCGGTATGACTTCTCTTGCGTTCCCTCTGTGACCACCTCACACATAGCTGGAAGTGCAGCCCAGAGCAGCCCTGGTTCCGCTCGGGAACATTCCCACCAGCACATCGGCTACCTCCTCACTCATACACTGCACGTCAGAACAATCGCTTGCCCACGGACAGCGTCTCTCAAGAGTTTAGAAAAATAAACAGGAGTTTCTTATTTCAAAAATACTGGGCCATTTGCAACGACATGGATGCAGCTAGAGAGTATTATGCGAAGCAAAATAAGTCAGTCAGAGAAAGACAAATACCATATGATTTCACTCACATGTGGAATTTGAGATATAAAACAAATGAGCAAAGGGGAAAAAAGAGAGCAAGAGAGACAAATCAAGAAACAAACTCTTCACTGTAGAGAACGGATGGGGAGAGGAGGGGAGAGGGAGGCGGGAGGGTGGGGAAGGGGGAAACAAGTGAAAGGGATGAAGCAGTGCACTTGTGATGAGCACCCGATGATGTATGGACTATATTATACACCTAAAACTAACAGAACACTGTATGTTAACTGGAATTAAAATAAAACCTTTAAAAAAATATCCGATGCTTGTCCAAGGAGTCATGTTGAAATGTGCTTTGACGAGTAAGTAAGCTTTAGAAGCACCTACCCTTCCTTCCTCTGAAGCAATTGCCGAGTTCTGCACGTTCACAGAGGACATCATCTGCTTCATCTTCACATCTACAATGTGTAATAAGCAAGCTGCTTCTACCAGTAATAACGATAATAATAATAGTAATCATTAAAACATTCACCAAGAGTTTACTTGGTGCCAGTTACTGAGCCTGGTGTGTTGTATGACTAGCTGGGCTGTCATTAACAACTCTGAGTATCCCTGTTGAAAGATGAGGAAACCAAAGCTCGAGACAGTAACTTTGTGCCCATTTTGCAGATGAGAGCTCCAGTGACTCGCCCCAGCACATGGTATTCCCAGCTCTAGCACCAAGTTCTCTGAGGCCCTTTCTAAGGCACTGTTTTTCAGCATCTCCAAATCACCCATGGGGCCTGAGGCCTTTTTGGCATCACTTTGGGGGCTCACTGTCCCAGCCTGGAAGAGGTCAGTCACAGTGGTCAATCTGCTATGCCTGCAGGCCATGCTTTGTGCACAGACACAAAGATATCTCATAACCAAAGGCAAAGGGCATGATCCCAGTTGGAAATGACAAACAGGGATCCTTTGCCTCTGAGGCCAGAGCTTGAATCTACAACTAGTTAGCGCCAGTTCCACTGGCATGCTGTCTACATAATGCAAACCATGGCATTTGGCAATGGCTCTTAAATTTGGCACACTCCACACTCCTCCTGGACCCACGAGATAACATAACCAAATGTTTTCTGATGCTGTAAGAAATGAGTGTTTTGCAGGTAGGAGGAAATGCAAACATCATCTGTATAAGGGGCTTGCTCCATCCAATCCCAAGGGCAAAATGGCTCACTCCTTCCCGACCCTTCGAAAGGTTAAATGTGAGCAAGGGCCCAGATAAATGGTCACAATGCAAACAAAGTCATGTAAATAAATGCATCTCTGATCTATGCAGGCTGGTGATGCCAAATATACCATCTGCACCATTTCTCATGATGAGTTGATTTTTTTTTCCCTGAATGTCCCAAGCAATGAGAAGATGACCATGTTTATGCAGACCAAGGCATGCATCATTTGATACTCTTGGAAATTTTTTTAGATTTCAGATCCACAGAGAATCAGTAGCATTTGTGTCTTTCTGGGTTAGCTTGGAGATGGACGAAAGAAAGAAAGCTCACTAGAAAAGAATAGGGTGCATATCCAGGGCCTAAGAGGGTACTTGCTGTTGATTATGATTTTTAGTGGGTTCTAGTTGCATCTGCAGTCTAAGGTGGCTCCCCTGGTCCTTCACTCATTCACTTACGAGAAGCCTTATCAGAATCTAATTATGGTGGGAGCTGTCTTAGGTGTTATGGATGCAAAGATAGGTAAAATAAAGTGCTCACCTAGAGAGCTATTCCTTGTGCTGTGAGAATTTGTTTGGCATGATCTATGGATAACTTCTTGAGGAATAAAAATTAGGAGTCTATAATCAGAATCACATGTAGATGGAGCTTCTTAAAAATACAAATGACCAGAATATAACCCTTCAATTACTAATTGATCTATAGCAGGGCTCAGGCATCTATATTATTTAAAAAACAAAACAAAAACGAAACTTGTAGGTCAAGGGTCGGCAAACACTGTTTTGTAAAGAGCGGCATAGCAAATATATTCAGTTTTGTGGGTTTATTCAGCTTTTGTTGCCACTATTCATCCCTGCCATTGTAGCATGAAAGTAGCCACAGATAACATAAGAATAAGAGGGTGTAGCTGTGTTCCAATAGAACTTTATTGTTGCAAAAACAGACAGCATGCTGGATTTAGCCTGTGTGCTATAGTTTTCCATGTCCTGTTCTAAATGATTCTTATAGGCAACTAGGCTTGAAATCTACTTGCCTGGAAAATATCGTGACTTTGGAGGGTGTGGGATCAACACCACCACAGATATAAACAGAAGGAATACGGTTTTCCCATCCACATCATAGTGCAAAAAACTTCCTTCAATGTAATCTCACATTCTGTTGCAAGCAATACAATGCTTAACGTTGCATCTGATCGGGACTCGACACCTCAGTGGCTCAGTGGTTGAGCGTCTGCCCTTGGCTCAGGTCATGATCCTGGGGTCCTGCGATTGAGCCCCACATGAGCCCTGCAGGGAGCCTGCTTTTCCCTCTGCCTGTGTCTCTGCCTCTCTTTCTATCATTCATGAATAAATAAAATCTTTAAAAAAAAACATTGAATCTGATCAAATACTTTGCAGAGATCCATATTCAAGTACCATTCTTATGGAAGGTAGGGAGTTTTACTAGATATCCAGTCTACCCTAAGAAATTAATCTACCTGCATTCTAAGTATTTCTGAGATCAGAAAAAAAAATAGATACGTCCATGATTATGTTATGTACCACTGCATCTTAGGATCTGGTGTAACAAAGAAATATTTTAAAA